GTCGACTCAGTGCAGTTGCACTGAGGTCCTACCTGTTGACCTTGCCACTTGTCTTCGTCTGAAAACGTGGGCCTACCTTAGACTCACCACTTGACCACTTGCCGACCTTCTAGAAGGACTACAGCTAGGCCTCTGGACTCTACTTGGACTCCTACCTTACAGGTCTACAGTTCGAATCTCCCTACAGCCTACAACCTACGGTGACCTACTTACCACTGGCTATCGTGCAGGTCACGGGTTCAACTCCAGGGAACTGTGCAGATACTGTACACAGGTAAGCTGAGGTCGAGGGATCGACCCCTGGGATCTGCATCGGCTACTGCCAAAGGTGAAAACTGTTTCATCTGTCCGCAGTTACGGGCATACTGACTTCTGGGACTTTTCGGGACATACTCACACTGGGACTTCGTGCAACTTTTTTTTTTTTTTAAGCTATATTCTTCTCTCAATTTCACCTCACACTACCCACCTACCACTACTCTTTTTTTTTTTTTTTCAAGCCCAGGTTGTTGTAGAGGTGGGATACTAGACGGATGGCAGTCACCCACAGTACTTTGCCACTCCGTTGTCCAGATGAACCCCTCTGWRGACCCCGCCCACCCTTCCTCTCATCTTTTTGCCCTGGCGCACCCCCACCCCCCCTGTCCTACTCTACTGTTAGCCACCCAGGACCATCACCCATTGCCTGACCAGACAGCAGTTGCAGGTACCGGGGCTAAGCAGAGATGCCTACCCCCTGCTCAGCCCCAGTTGAAACAGACCCTGTGCAAGCCTGATTGCACAGGGACTTCGGGAGCTCGGTATGAACATGCTACTACAGGTCTTCATGAGGGTGCACATTGACTCCCATCTAGCTTAGTTGGGTGGTGATGATGGAGAGTTGGGTATCCTCCGTTCCCTCGTATGTCCCTGGAGCCCGTTCCGGCCTACTCCTAATTGTAGGCATATGGGGAACCCAGTAGCAGCTAGAACCGTGTTCACGAGAGAACATGCGGGGCTGCTCCCGACCTGCAGGTGGGCGATACTGGCTAGGGGACAGCCGGTAGCATCGGCTAGGGGACAGCCAGTAGCATCAGGGACCATGCCAAGAGGACCAATCCCTGTGCCTCCCCTCAGGTCCACTCCCCTACGAGCATCGGCAGACTCTGCTCAATGCCGAGTGGAGGATCCATGTCTATCTCTAGCTGGCGGGCGCCAAGCATGCCCAGGAAGGTACATCAGGCCAATGGGGATTGAACCCACGGCCTCCTGAATGCCACTTGCGAGCATTACCAACTGAGTCAGGCCGCTGGATACTTCAGGCAACTTAGGGCACACTCACACTCTGACTATCCTTACCGTATACTGACACTGAGACCCTCTGGAACATAACACTGTGCCCCGCCTGCCGAGGCATCGCCACGCCTCTGACTTGTTAGTATAAGACTTGGACCCCACTGGCTGGCGGTAGCTGGCCGCCAGCCTTTGGAAGAGATGTTCTGCGACCTCACTGCTGGCGGCAAACACAAGCACTTTAAGGTCCACTCTGCCTACCTCCACTTTTATAGCACACCAACCAATCCCCGTGCCTCCTTTCTGCAGAGGATGGCTAGTATGCTGGCCAACGTGTAGAGTCCGCCAGCATACCTGCCATCCCATGCGGAAAGGAGGCCCCGGGATTGGTTCGTGCGCTGAAAAAGCATAGGCAAACTTGCCGGAAATGGCAAGTCTTCCTTATCGGGTAACAGAAACTTCGGGAAGTGCCGAAAATTGCTGTGGCAATGGAGTCCCATTTTGCTTGCCCATTCCGGTTGGCTACTATTTGTGCTGGCGGATGTTTTCCTGGCTGCCAGCTGCCGCGGGTCCCTCCCTAAGAGAATGGGGTCCCTCCCTAAGAGGCTAATCCCAGAATCATTAGTCAAGGTACTTTCAGGAAAAGAAAAAAAATCTCACACGTCTCCGCAGCGGGCGGGCCTTCAAAATAATTTGGCTGTTTCTTCTCAGGGCCTCCTTCGTGGCAACACGGGAGAGAGTCGTGGCGGGTTTCGTCAATGAACTTCCAAAAGCGCCTGACCCCCTCCCTGTCCCCCTGAAAGTAGGCGGCTGTGCAGAATTGTTTTTTTTTTGGTTCTGTTGTCGTTGGCCGTTCTCTGTCCTCAGATGAGGTTGGCACCGAGTGCAACTTGGCAACATTTGTGGAGAAGTTCCTTTCCCGTGGGGTCCATGGGATCCAAACTCGTTTTTACGAACCACTCGGCGTTGACACGACTTTCAGGGAACTTTTCCGGCTTTTTCTTAAACTGCCCCTCCCCCCGGCAGCCTAAAGTCGATTTTAAACGGAAAAAAAAAAAAAGGCTTTTGAAGTTGAGAAAAAGTAGGCGCACGGTTTCCAATTCAGGCGCTTGTTTTTAGAAAGAGGCGCTGCACTTTTGTTTTTCTTTTGTTCTTTTTTGTGGGACAAAAACAAAAAAAGCCACGCTGTGAACCTTGCAGCACAACATGGAAATATACACTGCAATCATTTCTGTTCTCCATGCGTGTCAGG